ATAGCTCATAGCAACCTCAAACTCTTGGACTCAGGTGATCTTCTTGCCTCAGCCTTCCAAGTAGCTGGGACTATAGGCACCCACTATAATACCTGGCTATTTTTAAAAACGGGGGTCTCACTCCTGTTCTGGCTGGTCTTGAAACTTCCTGAGCTCAGGTGATCCACTTGCCTCAACCTCCCAGAGTGCTAGAATTACAGGTGTGAGCCACTGCACCTGGCCTTGAAATTCACCCTTTTAAAGTATACAGTTCAGTGGTTTTTAAGTACAATCACAATGTTGGGTAACCATCCCCTCTACATGACTCCAGAACACTTTCGTTGTGCCAGAGAAAACCCCCATACCCATTAGTAGTCACTCCTCTTTTCTACTTTCCCCCATCTCTGTTAACCACTAATCTTTCTTTCTCTGTGGATTTGCCTTTTCTGGGTATTTTGTATAAGTAGACTCAGATCATATGTAGTCCTATGTTCTTGGCTTCTCCACAACGTAATATTTTCAAGGCTCATCCATGTGGTAGCATTAATCAGCACCTGATTTCTTTTATTGTATCTTCCATTGTACAGATTTGCCACATTTTGTTTATCAATCAATTGATGGACATTTGGGTTGTTTCACTTTTTAAATTTATGAATAATGCTGCTATAAACATTTGTGTACAAGTTTTTGTGTGGATGTATTTTCATTTTTCTTGGGTACATACTCTCTTTAATATTTAAAAACTATTTCTCTTCAGAGAATCTGCTGATCACATGGAAACAAGTCGGGCTGGAACTGAAGCCACATTCCTCAGCTGAGTGCAACTTCTGCAGGAGGCCCCTGCATTTTGAAGTGATGAGTGAAAGAGAGAAATCCTATTTCTCAGGCTTAAGCAAGTTGGTATCTGCTCAGGCTTGAATGCAACTTCAATTTACCTGACCCCAGGCTGTTGTCATATCCAGATAGTGTCCAGAGTTGTCTTTATATGTGAATTAAATTATATTAAATTTTAATCTATAGTAAAAACATAGTCCTGAAAATAAATTCTCGTTTAAGTGATGAGTCTTTCCTGCTATTGGCTCTGAATCAAAAAATTACTTTTCATTATCCTTTTAAATTCAGTCTATATTATAGAGGTGTATTAACTGTATCAAAAAATATTGGTGCTCTGTGGTCGCTTCAGACCTTCACACTCTGCTTGAACCCAGCTCCCTCAGTAACGCTGACCATAGCCTATGGCTGACCGAGTATACCGCAGCAACTGAACTGGTTTGAAAGAAGTGATACCACCTTGGCAGCCAGTTTTCCTTTCAGCTTCTCACCTCACATCTTCAGTGAGCAGTCAGTCAGTATGCTCAGCAGTCCTGCTGTAGCTGCTTCCCTCCCATTCCCTTTCAGCTACTACCTTGACCTCATAATGCCCAGTGATAGGTCATCAGGAGGGGGTCTGACTTGTCTGTCTCCACCCAGTCCCCCAACCTGTTGGCTTTCTGGACTTGTAGTTGTGTCCCCTACAGTGAAAGTGGAGGGGTTTGTGCTCCTCGCCCTGATTTTCCACTTGTATTTTATGTCTTGTGGCTTCTTGCATGTTCCTGCAGCCTTCCTTTCTTTGCTACATGAATTTCTTCCCCTCTGCAGGCTCATTCCCATTGAGTACAGCAGGCTTTGTCATTCATCTTAAAAATAAGCTCTTCCTCAGTCTAGACCCCCTACCCACTGCTCCTGCCTCTCTATTCCTATAACCTCCCAACTCTTTCATCCCTGTGCCCTGTGGAGGTTTCTCTTTTCTTGCCACATCTACCTCTGTCTTGCCAAATCCAGTGACTGATCTTCCTTCCAATGGATTTCTCTGTGGCATTTGACATGGCTGTCCTTGGCCTTTTTGCTTTCTCCTCTAAGCCTCTGTGTCGCTGACCTCTGCTGCTTGTTTTCATCCTACCTCATGTGCTGGTTTTTCTTCGTCCCTTTGGCTGGGTCTTCCTGTGATGTTGATGGCCCTACCAAGCTCATTTCTTAACTCTACTCAATACTCCCCACCTATGTGATCTCTTCTTGTCCTGGGCTTTTGGCTACATATATGCCCTACTGACTACTATGTCTGTCTGGGTGTCAAACAAGCACCTCCAACCACACAGGTGCAGAGGACACACTGGGTCTGCCCACCCCTCCTGCTCTTCACCTTGTTTTACTGTCATTTGCCCAGGTACTCAGCCTCTCATTTGGAAGTCAGCTTTGTCTGTCCCTCAGGGGTACATTACTAGCAAGTCCTATAAGTTCCACTTCTGAAGTGATCTCAGGGCAGATCATGTCTCATCCCCTCCTCTGCTGCCATCTTCTGGCATCTGCCCCAGTGTCTACCCCAACCATATCTTGAGAGCCGAGCCTTTAAAATTTTGACAAGTGGGATCATATCCCTGCTCTGCAGAAAATAGGCCTGGGTCTCTAGTCACACATAGATTAAATTCTAGACTCCACACACAGACTGATAAAGTTGGTTGGGATCAGGCTTCTATTCAGTTCTCCAACCTTGTCCCCTACCCCCTTCTTTGCCCCCTCTTTCATAACCTGGGACCTGCTCCTGGGTCTAGATGGCCAGTTTCTCTCTAGCTTCCAGACCTTCATGTTAGCCATTCTCTCTCTGCTTGAATTTTTCTACCCTGAGTCATGGTGGCTGCCTCTTCACACAGGACAAGGGTACCTAAGGAAATTTCCACTGAACATACCAGCTAAGGCAAACCCTCTTGCATTCTCACCATTGAAGGCAAACCCTCTTACATTCTCACCATTGCTTGGCCATTGCCATAATACCCTTGAAAACTCTGGTCACCACCCACAAGGATTTTTTTCATGTTGATCATTTATCCTTTGTAATGTCATCTCCATGAAGACAGGTATCCTATCTTCTCATTTCTGTATTCTCAAAGTCCAGTCCAGTACCTGGTACAGAGTGCTGAGCAAACATATGCGGTATATAAAAGAACCCTAATGACAAGTCTAGCTTACTAGAAAGAATTAGGTAAGCTGAAGGAAAACCAAGCAGCTGGAGGTCAGGAGATTGGCCTTACCTCCCTCTTACAGCTCTGGAAAGGGCAGCTGTGCATTCTCCTCTCTGGACAGAGTGGTGCTATGACAGGCTGGCTATGGGCCAGGGTTTCTTGGGGCACACAACCTTATCATGGTCCCATCAGATAAAACCAAACATCTAGGCAGGCCACAGGCCATGATGGGAGTCATGACTCCTTGGAACCATGATTCACTTCCTTCCTGTTCAGGAAACAAGCCACACTCAGGTCTTCCAGCTCTGTTGCCTTGCAGTAACTTTCAGGGCATTCTATTGTCCCTCACATTGCCACGACTGGGACTCCCTCTGTCTCCTTTTCTTCAAATGGGATTGATTTCCTCTAACTTGGGATGTTTCTACCTAAATGCTTAGGAAAATTCATTCTTTCTCTAAAAAACTCAGAGCTGTAAAGCCAACAAGGCCCTTACGTGCACTTCCCCTCCCTGCTTCTGAAAGGCCATGAGAACAAAGGATGAGATGATCTATAGGAAACAGCTGAGATTTGTGAACTGCTTTAAAAGGAGAAGTTTGGCTTACATAAGCAACTCCACTTTGAAACTGATGTCATGAAACTTCTCTGAGAATATTGAGAAGCCTAGGTTATTAAATAAAGTGTCCTAGGATAGTGCCCATAGCTTAGTGGGTAGGGCGCTGGCCATATACACTGGAGCTGGTAGGTTCGAACCTGGCCCAGGCCAGCTAAAGCAACAATGACAACTGCAACAAAAAAAATAGCCAGGGGTTGTGGTGGGTGCCTGTAGTCCCAACTACTTGGGAGGCTGAGACAAGAGAATCTCTTGAGCCCAAGAATTTGAAGTTGCTGTGAGCTATGATGCCACAGTACTCTACTCAGGGTGACAGCTTGAGACTCTGTCTCAAAAAATAAATAAGGAAAGAAAGTGTCCTAGAAGGAAAGAATGCGTTGTATTTTGAGATCTTAGTAAATGAACTGTCCTACATTGAAGTTTTCCTCATATTAGGTTTTCCTAAGTCTTGTGGCCAGACCTTTGCTTGTATAGTACTTGTTACTCTCCAACAAGAGGGGGCCACAGCATGTCTGTGGACTTTCCCAGCAGCCCTTGTCCTGCTCCCAAGGAGAGCTGCTGTGCCCAGCTTCATGTGTCTTTGATTCAACCACATATGAACCTATCAGTGCTCTGGGTAGGGATCCCTGACCCAGGAGGATCATTCTCTGGGAGGAAAGATAAACATTGAAGCCATGGCTGGGCAAGGTGGCTCACACTTGTAATCCTGCACTCTGGGAGGCTGAGGCAGGTGGATTACTTGAGCTCACAGGTTCGAAACTAGCCTGAGCAAAAGCAAGACCCTGTTTTTACTAAAAATAGAAAAACTGGGCGGCACCTGTAGCTCAAAGGAGTAGGGCGCCAGCCCCATATTTCGGAGGTGGCTGGTTCAAACCCAGCCCCGGCCAAAAACTGCAAAAAAAAAAGAAAAGAAAAACCGAGGCAAGAGGATCGCTTGAGTTGGAGGTTGCTGTGAACTATGACGCCATGGCACTCTACCCAGGGCAACAGCTTGAGACTCTGTCTCAAAAAAAAACCACTGAAGCCATATCAGCTGATGCCATGAGCATAAATCCCCTTACCTAATAATGACAACTGAGGCCTTGTCAGGTTTTCAGACTTTTATACATATTACCACTAATCCAAGAATAACTCTGGTCATTCCTGTTTACAAATGAGCAAATTGAGGCTCTTAAAGGGAAGGTCACCTGCCCAAGATAACCCAAATGGCGGAGTTGGGATGTGGGCCCTGGCAATGTGACCTGAGTCCTATCTCTTTCCTGATCTTGCAGAGCCAAGGTAGTGTTTTGGTTCTTTTTATTATTTTGTTTTGCTGTTGTTGTTTTTATTTTTATTTTTATTTTGGAGACAGAGTCTCACTTTGTTGCCCTTAGTAGAGTGCTGTGCCGTAACAGCTCACAGCAACCTCCAACTCCTGGGCTTAGGCGATTATCTTGCTTCAGCCTCCTGAGTAACTGGGACTATAGGCACCCGCCACAATGCCTGGCTATTTTTTTGTTGCAGTTTGACTGGGGCCGGGTTCGAACCTGCCACTCTCAGTATATGGGGACAGCGCCCTACTTACTGAGCCACAGGCACCATCCTATTGTTGTTTTTAGACAGAGTCTCACTGTCAAATTGGGTAGAGTGCCGTGATGTCATAGTTCACAGCAACTTCAAACTCTTGGGCTCAAGTGATCCTCTTGCCTCGGCCCCCCAAGTAGCTGGGACTACAGGCGCCTGCCACAACACCCAGCCAGTTTTTCTATTTTTAGTAGAGACAGAGTCTCACTCTTGCTCAGGCTGGTCTCAAACACCTACCTCAGGCAATCCACCTGCCTTGGCCTCCCAGAGTGCTAGGATTACAGGTGTGAGCCACAGTGCCCAACTGGCAGTGTGTGTGGAGGAGAGGAGAGGGCCTAGAGCGCTTCATGAGTACTCTTTCTGACTACATTGTGGTGGGAACTGCCTCCCTCCTAGCCCTAGCAAAGCCCAGCTCTGACCATTTTTTCAGGGCCTCAGATAGTGGAGCTCTGCCCTCTGGTCCTATAGACAGCATAGAGCCAAGTGTTATGGATCCTAGACTCAGTCAACCCATGTCCAAACAACAGTACTACTACAGCCCCCAAACTGCTTCAGCTCCAAACTGCTCTTCTGAATCCCTGAAACTGCCCTTACAAGTTGATGAAGGATACAAGGTGAGAACTGGAGTGAGGGCCCTAAAATTCTGTGAAGGAGCAGGCTTAGCTAAAAATAATAATAATCAGCCATCAGCCACTGTCCCCCTTTTTGCCTGATAATAGTCACCGTTCCCTATTTACTTTTAGCCATAATTGTAAAGATTCTTAACTTTTCTCCCTAGATAACATCACTTTTTGGAACCTTAAAGGTAGTTTCTAAAATATCTTCCAGGCTTTCATTCCAGTGGATTGGATAACCTGCCCAGACCAGCAGCTCATACCAAGAAACCAACTGGAATTATGACCCCAGGAGCTAATGAAAAACAAGATGATTTCCAGACCTCTATTATTTTGCCCCAAACTTAGTTAGCAAACCTAATCGCCTAATCCCCTGCCTGTCAAACTATCCTTGAAAACCCTGTCCCCCCAATTCTCAGAGAGGCTGATGTGAGAAATTTCTCCATCTCTTATTTAGGTCATGTGAACTAAATTCTCTTTGCTATAAACCCTGCTATGTCTGGGTATTGGCTTCCTCTTAGGCAGGGGTCAGATGAACCTGGTTGAGCGGAAACATTGCTAGCCCCAAAAAGCACTAGGACCAAGAGCATGAGTGGATGGGTGGCCAGATAGAAATCCTACTGGGAACTGCCAGAGGGCACACTTGGCTGTCCTGAGACAGAGGCAGGGTGCTTCTTACATGCAAAATATGATTCCCAGAACAGGGCCCTGCTTCCTGGTTCTGCTATTAGTTGTGGCCAGAATAGCCTCAGAGTCACTCAGGGAACTCCCCCAGACTCCAGCCTGGGGAAAAAGATAGCTCTTGTTCTCTTTTCTCCCCAGGCATCAGCCAAGGAAGTATGACAGCCTTTGATAGGTAAGTGAAAGACTTTCCTTCTGTATTTCAGATGAACAGATAACAGGGAACTGTACTCCACCACAGAGACCCTGGGCCTAAGTCAGAAAGAAGAAAGTAGCTTCTCTCACTCTATGACCTGGAGGGAGGGCAAAAATAGCCCCCCTCAGGGCTGCCCACAATTAGGCTTCAAAATTAGCTGTCTTCTGCCAGTTCTAACCCTTGTCTCCAGAGACCCCAGTGGCAGAGCAGACCTCAAACCAGCCAGGGCCAGTTAAAATAGTTCAACTCTCCTACAGCCTGCCCCAGGCCTAGTTCCAACTGTCACCTGTCTTTCAGGCTGCATATTTCTCACTTGCTCCTCAAAGGCCAGGTTTGGTTGCGATTATGGTAATGTGGGCAGCCAACCTAGGACAGGGTTCCTCAAGGCCCACAGGCCTAACCCTACTCATGGCTCTTCACATACTTGCTGGGTACAGAATCTGACCTCTCCAAACTTCCAGGTCATCAAGACTTTGAGCTGTGTCCTGAAATATATACTGCATATAAAAAATAGAAGCAGGCATACATGCTCTACCCTGGCCAGATGTGGCTGTGTCTCCACACTGAGTGCAATCAGCTCTGAGAAACAAGAACAGGGAAGGGGACCCCCACATTTGCAGCCAGGTAGCAGCTCACTCAGGTGTCCCTTCAATATCAGAACAGAGAGACCCAGAATATGCCTTTAGGTGGAAAAGGAAGGATTGTGAGCTCACCCTAGAATCTTTTGTGGTGCCCAGCTCCCTGCCACAGGGATATATGTACCCACAGCCTTCCTCTCCGGGAGCCTTCTCTGCCCATCACAGGCATGGCCACCAGAGGGCAATATAACCCCTTTAAAGATGCCACAAATCCATGTTTTTCTTTACATATTGGAATGAAGATTCCCCTGAGGCGCTGCCTTTAAGAACCTTGCTGGGGGCCAGAAATAAACCAGGTCTGCAGGTTCTCTGCCCTTAAGGCATTTTCAGTCCAAAAGAGGAAAGGGGCAAATACCTGTGACCAATGGACAACAGAGGGGTGCTGGCCCAAGTTTGGCAGGGGCTGCCTGGCTCTGCTTGAGAAAGGTAGAACGAGGTGTTCCAGGGAGTGGTTGAAAGTGGCAGGAGAGGCTCAGTGCCTGTGGCTCAAGTGGCTAAGGTGCCAGCCACATACATCTAAGATGGTGGGTTCAAATCCAGCCCGGGCCCGCCAAACAACAATGATGACTGCAACCAAAAAATAGCCAGGCGTTGTGGTGGGCACCTGTGGTCCCAGCTACTTGGGAGGTGGCGGCAGGAGACTTGCTTGAGCCCAGGAGTTAGAGGTTGCTGTGAGCTGTGATGACACAGCACTCTACCCAGGTAGAGAATCTGACTTCTCCAAACCTCCAGGTCATCAAGGGGGACAGGTCTCAAAAAAAAGAAAGAAAGAAAGAAAGTGGCCGGGTGACCTGTCCTTGTTCTCTGGGAGGGACAAAGACCTAATTCAGTGACCTTTATCAGACTCCCCTGAAAAGATGCCGGTGAACAAAACTGCCCTTAGTAGCTTTCCTCCCCTCCAGACCTTTGTGTTGTCTTTATGGCAATTTTTCCTCAACCACCCCTTGTCCCTCCTCATTTTATGGAGGCCTGGAGAATTCTCCCCTTCCTCTTCCCACCCACACCCCCAGTGAGTTCAAGGTTAGTCGTCCGGCCTCCAGCAGCATTTATTGAGTGCCTACTCTATGGCAGGTCGAGGAGGGGCGCTTAGTGGCGGCAGGCACTAAGCTGTGAAGCTGCAGAGCAAGGCAAGAGAGGTGAGGCATGTAAGAGTGGAGGGCTGGGCAGAACTGTGGCTTAGGGCTATTCAGCTGTTGGTCCCTGGCAGAAGTTCTGGTTATAAAAATGGTGGTTGTCCCTGGTCAGAGCTATGCCCAGCTGGGCCCAGAAGCTTCCCTGACCGTTGGGCTGGTGGGGCCAGAGGAGGACACTCTGGCGGCAGAGGCGCTGGCGTAGCCGCACATAGCGAGAGCGGCGAGCATCGGGGCTCAGGATCACCAGCACCACAACATCCTTGCGGTCCTCCAGCAGACGCTGCTGGGCCAGCAAGAAGCTAGTGCGCAAGAGGCCACTGACCCGGTCCGTGTGGGCCAGAACAAACAGCGTCTTACGGCTGCCATAGACTGAGGCCCACAGGTTCTCGAAGAGGGACTTGCCAGGCAGCCAGTCGCGCTCCTCCAGGCACAGGCGCAGTGCCCGGCGCCCCCGGCGCTCCTCCAGCCGCTCCCGCAGTTCATTGTACACCCAGTCGGCCACAGCACTCTGCGCCTTGTCGAAAACCACAAAAGCATCATAGGGCAGGGCATTTTCAGTTTGTCGCCGCCCCCGCCAGGGAAGCCAGGCCAGGCACAAGTGGAAGCAGTACCAGAGGTCCCAGCCACAAAGGTGGTGCAGCATGGGCACAGCCAGGCCTAGAGCCACAGCCAGCAGTGAGAAACCAAAACAGTCCCAGGAGAGGGCCTCATCCAGGCAGAGTCGTAGATCCTGTGCAAAGATGCTGCGGCCCTGAAGCTGGCCTGGACTGCCACACTTCACCTGGCTGGGCAGACCAGGCACAGCTGCCTGCACCTCCAGCAGGAAGTCCAGGAAGGCCGCCCCACATGCGCAGTGCAGAGGGTTGGCGCTCACATCTAGTATTGTCAGGTTACTTGCCATGTGCCCAAACCAGAAGGACTCCACCGTCTTGAGGGCATTGGCACTGAGGTTGAGCACCTTCAGCTTCATGGCCAGGGCAAAGAAGCCAGGGGCCACGAAGCTGATGCTGTTCCTGCTGAGGTCCAGCTTCCGCAGCTGGGTGCCCTCAGGCAGGCTGCCATTGGTCAGGGCCTTCAGCTGGTTTCCTGCCAAATCCAGGACTTCTAGCTTGGGCAGGAGGGTCAGGTTGCTCCACATGAAGAAGGCCAGGTAATTGTTACGGAGATGTAGCAGCCGCAGGGTCTTGGGGAGGTTGCCCAGGGCACCGGGCAAGAGGGTATGCAGGCGATTCTGAGACAAGTCCAACCACTCTAGGCGTCTCAGGCCTTGGAAGAAGTGGAGGTAGAGGTCTCCCTCAGCCCACATACGGTTCAGGGCATTGCCACTGAAGTCCAGGGCCTGCAGTGAGTTGCTGCACAGCCGCTGGGACACACGGCTGTGGATGTCGTTGTGTGCCAGGCTGAGGTAGCGCAGGGAGAGCAGGTGGGCCACAAAGCTGAAGTTGTGGCCCACGCCCTGCATGCTGAAGGGCTGGCTGTTGTAGCTGAGGTCCAGGGATTCCAGCAGTTGTAGCTCTGTGAACGAGCGCTCATGGTACAGGTCCAGCTTATTATGAGACAGGTCTAGCACCTGCAGCATGGGCAGTGGCTTGAACTGAGAGCCATTGACTGCCTGTGAGATGCAGTTGTTGCTCAGGCTTAGGCATTGGAGGTGCGAAAGCCCAGCAAACATCTCTGGCTGGATTGTTACCAGATTGTTACGTGAGAGGTCCAAGGTGAAGTTGAGGTTGCTGCAGTTGGGCATGAAGTCCTCAAAGCTGGGAGCATCCACTGGGGCTGAAGCAAGGTCCCCAGGCTGCAGCCAGAGCTTCTCCTCACCATCTGCCTCCCCTGTGGTGGCCGCCAGCTTGAATGCTCCACTGATACGGTTGTCTGATAGATCCACATAGTGCAGGTTAGGGAAGGCCCCAAAGATGCTGAGCTGGGCCTGGTTGATGAAGTTCATCTGTAGACGCAGAATCTGGAGCATGGGCAGCTGGGCTAGCGGCTTGAGGGAGGTCTCATTGAGTGAGCGGAAGAAGATGCCATGCATGTCCAGTTCCTGCAATGAGGTCAGGTTCCCAAAGGAGGGTGCCAGCTGCAGGTAGGCAAAGGATACCCCCTTTCGGTAATTGAAGGACAGGTTGAGCTTACGTAGCCGTGCCAGGCCCTGGAAGGCATTGGTTTTGGTGATAGAGCTATAGAGGAAGTTCTCACTCAAGTCCAGCACTGTGAGGTTGCCCAGGCCATCAAACCATGTGGTATTAAGACTCAAGAGAGAACTGTCCTTCAACACCAGACCTTCAAGATGGCTGAGGTGGCTGAAAGTATGAGGATGTAGCTGAGGGAAGCCATGAGGGCACTCCATGCAGGGATTGCGGGCATGGTCACACCGGCGGCAGTTTCCACCCACATCAAGCACACGCAGGGCAGTCAGATTGGCCAAGTCCCTGGGTCCCCATTTGACAATGTGGTTGTAGGACAATAGCAGATACTCAAGGCTAGGGGGTAGGTTGCGGGGTACCACTGTGAGGTTGTTGTACTTGAGTGACAGGTGAGTGAGGTTACGCAGGCCAAGGAGGGCCCCTGGGGCCACCTCCAGTGCCTCCCTGCAGGGGTTCTTGTAATAGCAGTTGCCATCCATGTATAGAAAGCGCAGGGCATGCAGGCCAGTGAAGCTGGTGGTGTCCAGCACCAAGATGTTAGTGCGGCTCAGGGACAGGGACACAAGGGATTTGGGCAGGGCAGGCACAGTTGTGATGCTGTTGTAGCTCAAGTTTAGCTCCTCCAGGGTAGGCACAGCTAAGAAGGTATTGGGTTCGATGGTCATATGGCAGGGGAAGTGCATGGGGTTGAGGCTGGCTGGTGGGCAGTTCCACTTGAGATTGAGATGCCGTAGGCTAGACAGGTGGGCAAAGTCAGAGTCATGGAGGTGGTGGATGCGGTTGGAGGACAAAGAAAGACTGGTGATATTGTCACGGGGTGCTGTCGCAGAGAAGTGGGGCACAGACTTCAGGAAAAGCCAATTGCAATTCACCAGGCCATGGTGCTGGAGCTCACAGGGTAGGAAGGCAGGCAGGGTACCCAGTGCCAAGGCCACGGCCAGTGCCTCGGCCTGCACCAGGAGAGACAGCAGGTGCACGGCACCATGGCAGGAACCCTGTTGGGGATGGTGGCTATATGAGTGTCCAGCTCCCTGCTCCACCTATACCCACTTCTTGGGGTGGGACTTCTGCCCATCTGTCCAAGCCTATTCCAGGCTGCTGAGCCCCCTCCCTGCCCCAAGGCTCTTGGAAAAACTGAACTCATTCTCAGACCCAGCTTCTGACTCAGAATTAGAACTCAGAACTAGGACTGAGACCTGGAATCCAGACTCACAATTTGGAGCTTTTACTCATAACCAAACCTCAGCTGACAGGAGGGCCAGTCAAGGAGGCCAACAGGCCCAGCCTCCGCTTCCTCTCTTCAGAGGCCATTTCTCTTTGCTCCAACAAGGTGACAGCTGGCTCCCTTCCCTCCAGCCACTCCAAAATCCCTTCTCTGCCCTCTATCAGCCTCCCTCAGTCTCCTCCAACCTCTCCCTCTCTCTTTGGCCAAAACCCAGCAGAAATGAGAGTCTCACTGCACACATCTCTCTCACCCTTTGCCCACCTCACCCAACTGGAGAGCCCTCAACCTGCTATGGCTAGGAACAGATGGACAGGGTGCCAGCAAGGGGCCAAATAGAGCCCAGACCCAGGCGTGCTCACCTGGGCAAATAGCCCCAGCCCTGCCATTGCCTAAAGCCTCTAGCCCAGCTTCCTCATGCCCGCCATTGGCTTTGGTCTCACTGCTCAGAGCTTCTTCTCTGGATGTCTTCAGTTTCAGTGAGTGTCCCTAGGGACATGTGGGTCACAGCCCCTTTTACTGTTTCCTGCAGCTGCCAAGTCCACCTCTCTGCCCACCCCTTCCTAGAATAAGCCCTTCCCCTGGGCGCTGAGAGCTGCTGTCCTACCATGATGGGGAGTAGGGTCTTCTGCGCAGGGTCTGGCTGGCAAGCTGGGCAGAAGCTGCAATTGAAGGATGCTTCACACTCAGAGCACTGCGGTGTCCCTTTCCTCAGGAGCAGCAGCAGCTCAGAGAACAGAGGAAGTGAGAATTTATAACAGCCTAGTCGCTTCTGCCCTCAACTCCACCCTGCCTATGGAGGGTCAGAGGCTATTTGCATAGTCAGATGGCAGAGACAGGGACCGTCCCTTCACCCCTTCCTCTTTCCACTCCCCTCTCAGACAGCCTGCATCCTGTGAGGGCCTCACACCTGTCCTCTGGGAAGTCTGGGGAGGAACTAAGGCCCAGAGCCCAGCCTAGGGGCAGTGAGAGATTGGGGCACCCCTGCCAGGCATTCTCCCATCCCAAGAACATTCTTCACCCTCATGCCTCAGTCCTGCCCACAGCTGGCATTCTCAGGACAGTGGTTTCCTTGCCCTCTGCAGTGCCATCCCCAGACCTCTGGGATCTCAAGTGTGGGAATAGGGGACAAATTGAGCAGAGGCCCAGGCTGCACCTGCCTTGCAGCCACAACCCTGAAACATTTTCTGGGAACAGGCCCTCCTCTTCTGCATTTCCAGGTCTCCTGGAGGGTGGGCACACGTAGCCCGGGTCCCTGCTGATCCTCCCCAGTTGGCTCTTTCCATACCCCTTCTGCCCCAGTGATCAGAACTCATAGTATTCAAAGACCCAGGGTACCTGGGAAAGGACTTTAGTGAGTTCTGCTGGCTCCACCTGCAGAATCTGCTCACTGCCCATGTCCATCAGTTGGTGGCTGGTTGGAGCAGCCATTGTCTGGCTTCCCATGCAGGCACTGCTGCCTCCTGGCTGCCTTGTCCTGTTCTTCACCCTCAGCCTACTCAAATCTGCCCCTGTCGCACTGCATCCCTCCTCTGCTCAGAGCCCTCCATAGCCATCTCTGAAATCAAAGCCACCACCCACATAATGGCCAACAAGGTCCTATCACATCTGCCTCCCACCGATTCCCTGATGTGTCTTACTCAGGCCTACTTACTGCTGCTTGAACACACCCAGACATGCTGCTCCCTCTACCTGGGAGCTCTTTTCCTATGGTCTCACCCAGGCCCCTCCTTTGCTTCCTTTAAGTCTCTGACCCCATGTCACCCTCTCAATGGTGCCTCCTCTGATCCTTTTATACACCCTCCCACCAGATCTGGCATTCCTGAGTGCTTTGCCTACTCCATTTTTCTCCATCATAACACTTTTTCAACTGCTAACATACCATAACATTGATTTCTCATGGTTTATGGTAGAATGTCTCATTTTCCTGCTGCAATGCCAGCTTCTTCTTCTTCTTCTTCCTTTTTTTTTTTTTTAGAGACAGAGTCCTATTTTGTCGCCCTCGGTAGAGTGCTGTGGCATCACAGCTCACAGCAACTTCCTGCTCTTGGGCCTAGACAA